TAAAATTCATTTGATCGCCGATTGTTACTGTGAGGATGGTGATGAGGAGCTCATTGAGAAGCAAAAATAATGTCTTTCACTAGGTCAGCACACCAGCCATCACCTTTCCTCCATATCGCCACTGTGTAGTTGCTCTTAACCATCGCCTAACAGCGATAACTTTTACTAATGACAAAAACAATCACACTACTCTGAACTGCTCAGGATTGATATCAAACATATGTTAAACAATCCTTGGCTACCTAGAATTCAAGGTTTGATTTCGTGAAAGCCAGAATCTGCCATTAGTAGCCGATTTCCTGCATGACCATCTCTCGGAGGTCTGAAGGAAGGTTATTTTAAGCTAAACGCGTAGATATAACAAAATTTAACGTTGTTTATCTGGCATGTCACTGACCTATTTCAAGTGTCGTTAATGCATCTCCAACTCCTCATCTCGGTTTGAATTCAACTCATTCTTGAAAGTACAGAGGGAAGACGTTAAAACGGATGCGAGAGCCAATTTATATACCTTTAGCTTCAAATACTAGTTTTAACCGAATAGGATAAGCTTAGCAACGGTATTTCCTCTAACCTGCATGTTGAATCCAGTCCATGTAACCTCCAAACTCTTTTTCTGTCTGCTGCTGCCTTCGGAGCTTCAGAAATGCCCTCCGTTTTTCCACTCTTTCCTTCTCTTTTGCGAATTCTCTAGATATCAAAAGGTTATTCTCAAATCTGTGGGGAGGTAGCAGAGAGTTATAGTACGCTTGAGAAAAACGATGTCGTGACGATTTAGACCACAGTCAAGTGTGTGCAAAATTAAAGAACTCACGATACTCCGACATTCATTTCATCATAAATCGGTCTAAATTAAATGCGATTGAATCATCATCTATGCCTCCTTTAATTAGCAAAAATTTTAAATTGCAAAAAGTGTATCGTTGTTGTTATGCTTTCGGCTTTGGTAAAGCATACGTAAAGTGAGTAGCATTTCCTTAAATAAGAATGGGAGGATGTAGATCGACGGGTATCGAAAAATACAAAACCAGAAAGCATCATTGGAGAGGTTCAACAAACAATCTTACTAACGCAATAGGCAAGCACTAGTGGTGGAGGCATAAGAGATGCTTCTGCTAATTGGAAACGAAATTGCAAACTTACCCACTGAGAACACCGAGAATCAGATTGAGCATGAAGAAGGAACCGAGGATAATAAGAGGGCTGAAATAGAAGGCGCTGAACCTGTCGCCAACAGCGTCGAAAGTCTAAAAAACGCAAATTGATGCAATTGCGTTGGAGAAAAGGCGTAGCTCACCATGTACATAATGTCTGTCCAGCCTTCCATGGTGATGCATTGAAAGACGGTCAGCATGGCATAGCCGATGTTGTCAAAGCTGGTGATGCCGAAATTGGGACCCTCCCAGTAGCCTTTGCAAATATATCCAGCAGGACAACGAAAGGATCCGTGTGCAGCATTGAAGAAGCCCTTTGAGGAGCTCTCGTTGCCAATATTGCAGGGCACAAGGGACTTGCTGTTCGGGATGGAGTCCGGGAGAACATCTGGATTGCCTAATATTTCAGACCGACTCTTTCTTACTTTCAATCGCAATCTACCATCGAGTCGAATGGTTCTCGATTTAAAACAAAATTATACTGTTTTGGGTTTTAGTCCACGGCTACTTAACAAGAGCAAGACGTCAAATCTCCACTTAAATGCCGTTATGTTAACATGTAGGTAGCTGTCAGCGTACAGATTTCCATAAGCCAAAACGTGCGTTTTGCTGATTAGTTGTGACGACGGTACGGAATGTTGCAAGCTATATGCACAATGGTGCACTGCAATTCTGAAGAGTCATACTCTTCTTTAGGGCATGACTTTGGCAATCAGTTTAAGTGACTGATCAGCTAAAAGCTTAGGAACGTTAGCACTGACTTCTTTGCTATAGGCAAAAGGTTTACCCATTTACAACCGATGACGCTGAAGGAGTCACAATGAGCGGTATCACCTCAAGTCGCATCTTGAGGCTGCTTCCTTGCAAGTGGAAAAATTTTATTCTCGCTAGTAAAGATATTAAAAGAGGGAGATAGTGCAGGTGAGCAATGGAAACCTCCCACGAATGCATCAAATGCTAGCCTTTGTGCTTAGTTGAACTCAAATTTCAAAGAACATTTTGGTTGATTAATACGTAGCAACTTCTCCACCCATTGACTTCCTC